ACACACTCGAACTAAACACGCTGAGTGCAGTGGTAGGTCGCATTAGCTCAGCAGCAAGCGGCAGTCGAGTCGGCGGCGGTTTTTCAATATAATAATGAGTAATATCTAGTGCTATCGTTGCGTTGCGTTAGAACACCCTACATCCATCAAAGAAGGTTCAATCAATTTGCGATAGAGAAGAAGAGAGGTTTCCCCACAAGATGAACGCTAGCACTTAAAATCAAATTTCACGATTTCATTTAAGGAAGTGGGACTATTAATAGTCGTGACTGACAAGGTCACCGAGGCTCTCACCGCCGGAGGAATTTTATTTTCCCCATGTTGGCAGACTTTCTTTCTGTTCAACGAGACCGACACGTTGAGGACTGTTTAGTCTACCATCAAGTTAAATTTACGCGGCCTAATCCATTATCACATTTGTAGGAGAAAGCCTCCGTTTGAAATTTAAATATAATGAGGAGAAAACTGCATACGGTTATAATACAATGAATCGTACGATGCGTACGAGTGGTTTTAAAAACTTCTGTGCACGATGTGCGGAAGATCTTCAAATGTGGCCAACAAAATGTCTGAAAAACTCAAACATACGCTCCATGATGAGCTTTCTGCGATATTTTCGCAAAATTTCGAGATCTCTACTTGGCAAAACAATCACAGAAACACTCGGATATCGGGGTTGTTAGGAGATTACTTCGAGAAAGGCTTCAAAAAATGAATGCCCCGTTTCACCACTTGTATAGAAGGGAATGGCGATTCTAGACGAAAAATAGTTCACTTACTTTCCGGATAAAATTATTACACTCAATACCGTATTTATCGTACAATCAAGAAGACTTTCGATCAGTTGGAATATTTAAGCAACGAGTACATTTGTTCATTGAGTAACGAATGAGTATCGATCTACTCGCACTGCTTGCTACCCGAGACTCTAATACGTGTATACAGTAGAAAGTTTTCTCTAACGTAGGGTAAAATTTGATTCGTGACGATGAATATTTTTGTATTTGCTTTGCTTTTATTTTGCTCATTAGTTTTGAAATGAAATTTCTATTTTCGATTGGAGTGTAACTGACTGAGTGAAAACAAAAGTTTAAGAGAAAATAAATTTAAAATTCAAATGAACTCATGTAACTCTGTCGAATTACTTGTACATAAACTGGTATAAGCGAGTGTGTGTGTGTGGATAATTGTTAATGAGTTGTAACACGAATTTGCTCTTTTACCAACAAAATTATCTAAATATTTTTTAACAAAACTACTCTGTGTTATGTTTCACAATTCAAAATATTTATTGGGCATGCTGTGCGTCTACATATGTACACTGTTGTCAATATACATATGTATGTATGTAAGTTATTACAATATCGTAGAATTCGAAAATTTTATTATATTCGAATTTTCTTTTCGTTATGATTTTTATTTGAATACAAATAAATTATGCTTATATTTCTGAAGTAAAGCATTTAATCTTGTAAATAATAATATTTCTGATTTGAACTGAACTGAATTTTATTAAAATCAAAAAAATAGAGCTGTTTTCGGTCGTACCGAAGACTTTACACCTCTACTGAAAATAACAAATTTATGGTATTTCATTTTAGAATTTAGTAATAATTCCCATAACTGAATAATGAGCTCGGTCGTGGATATGCTATAGTTGTCCGATCTGGCCGGCCAGGAAAGACATATTATATAATCGTTTGAATGTACCAAGTTTAGTTGAAAAACTGAGAGAACTGAGGAACTATAATTTGAATGACACTCTGAGAATTTTCCCAAATATCAGCGAATTGAAATTAGGATACCGTGACTGGCTTTTTGGAAATAAAGAGGTGAAGGGTTAATAGCATTTCCATTATCTGATCTATTTTGTTGAGGTAATAAAATTTACATTGGTATTAAAAATTACCATTCAGTAATTTTTGTTGCTATTTCGTATTCTGAGTTCACTGTCACCCTGTAAATTTTGCTACCCGCGAAATAGGAGGTTAGTTTGAGAAAAAACCAAAACCAAAATATATGTAATACGTATTCATTGAAGATTGAAGATGAAGAAAAAGGTGAAAAAAGGCGCATGTTAAGAAATTTGTAAGAAAACAAAGACTCTTTCGACTTGGAAGACGGCATTTTCATTCAGAATTTTCGCCTGAACAAAACGATTTACCGGTAAAGTGAATTTTGTTACTTTTATTTAATTTAGTATTCTGTCGAACTGGTTACAATTTTTGAAAAAACTTTGGCAGCACTGCTTTTTTCGTCCATGTCAAATTACATTTGCCAATTGATAAAGTAAAAAGAAAAATGTTCACATCGAAATGGAAGACGGAGCACAAAAAAATTAAAAAGTTTCATTAATTTGTTTATTAAATCTTAAATATTTGAACCTAATTATGGAAAATATGCCTGGACAACAAAAAAAGCTGAATGAAAACGTTATCTTACAAATTAAAGAGCTATTTTTTGTCTCGAAAGCTTCTTAAAATACGGCTTTTTGCACTTTTTTCTTCATCTTCAATGAATTCCAGGCCTAAAATATGCCCACCCATTTTGGCCTTTTATTTTTTCTCAAACTTACAACACAAAATCAAACAGCATATTTTTTGTTACCTCCTATTTCGCTGATAACAAAATTTACAGGGTAACAGTGAGCTCAGAATACGAATTGGCAAAAAAAATTACTGAATGGTAAATTTTGTTACCTCGACAGAATATGCGTGTATATCAAATTTTTTTTAGACAAAAAGAATCCTTGCCGTTTTATTTAAGGTTTCTCTCATGAATATATTTCTTTTCACATAGATCGTACCAGTAGTTCGTGGGAGCGAATGTCTAACTGCTGTGAGCCAACCCTCTGTTTCGCGATCCCAAATTACACAATTTGATTGTCAAAGTAAAAGCCGGGACAATTTGCTTCCCAACAACAACAATGCAAATATATGTATATGTTTATGAATATTCTTCTTTTTTTCTATACCAATTGGCAAATATGATTTGATATGGACGAAAAAGCAGTGCTGCCAAAGTTTTTTAAAACAATGCAACCTGTGCGCTAGAATACCAAATTCAATTTTAGGTATTAAAAGAAAGTAGCAAAGTAAAAAATTTTGCTGGTAACAGTGAGAAGAGGCATGTAAATCGTTTTTTGGATGTTTTTTTTTCTAAAATCTGAAGGAGAAATTTTTGTTTTTTAATCTTTATCAGGCGCTTGATTATTTATTATAAAAATACTATTGTTTGTTCGTTTGATTCCAGATGAATGTCTTAAGATTTGTGAGAATCCTTTTAAAACCGTTAGCTTTTTTCTTAATGTTCTTAATTCAAGTCATTCCCATTTGTACATGTCTTTAAACTTTTTCTCAAACTAATTCCTTGGGAAACTAGAAAGCGTCTTTCATATTTCTAAAAGGTGTGTGGTGTTAGTCTCACTCTTCTACTGTCTAGTATGTTTTAGTTTTAGGAATTTGAATTTCCTTTTCGACACTGTTTTTCAAAAATCTACCGGGCTTAGAGTCAGCGGAAACCAGATCTGTCACTGCATCTTTAAATCTGTTGTGGGACCCAAACTTTTGTATGGGGTCAACGTTAACCTTTTAAATAGAAGTCAAAGATCAGCGATGATTATCAAAAGTGTGGCGCCCAAGACCGAGAAAATCATTCCTTAAATGTGATCCTGGACATTTTCAAATAACAGTGCTGAACGGTTTTAATATAAAGGAGCTCAATCAATCAGTGGAATAATCAACGATTTCAACATTCAATGAAATTTCATTGTCATTATGTAGGTCGCAAACTATATTGAAACTGAACTCACCAGGAATAATACCTTTTTTTAGCGAGGCCACTACAGAAAATGGTCAATGGTCCTAGAGACCGTAAGCAAGCGAAGTTGTAGGCTCTACCAATAAGATTCTTCGCGACAGAGAAATATGGGTAAGCCTTTTGGTACATCCAAACTTCTACTAAAAGAGTTTCGTTATAAGCAGGCCGAATTAAGAGGTAACCACAGTCTTTCTTGCAAAGTTTCTAGACGAACTTGGTCGAAATAGAATGAAAATATGGCAAGCGAAATGTACCCTATTAAAAGAGAGTGCATATCAAAGTTTTTCAAAAGACCTCACAGAACAGCTTGATAGGATAACATGTAGGTCTGTTAGATGTACCCTTTAGGAGATGCTGTAGAAGCTGTAAGAACGATCAGGAACAAGAAATAGTATCTTATCTCCTATGTAACTGCCCTACCTGGGGCACAGCTATGTCCGATATCTGGGGTCTGCCACCATCGATTTATATAAAATAATAAACATTAAAATAAATTACAATATTTATTGCAGTTAAAAAAGGAACCAAAGTGGATGGATAGTGGAGCTTAGTAATCGGTATTTACCCGATGGTATCACAATGAACCTAGGATTATTAATCGAACGTGGTTGGCGTTTGGCAGCGAGAATATCGAACATTTTTCTATCCTCCTGATCTGAATTATAAGTTACACAAATTGTTTTGAAATTCAGCGGGTAGAGAGTTTAGGATTTTTATAATAAAATATTACGCCTTTTCGATTGGCCGCTCAGGACTTCTTATCTTAGGTTCTTCCTTCCTTTTCGACAGTTAGCGACAATAGAGAAATTGATTCATTTCGGGCAGCAGTTCATATCCCCCAACCCCATCAGAGAGTAAACATAATCTTCATATCTCCTTTAGATGTCTATTGTGGATACTTGGTTTGTTTAGTCCACGATCGAAAAGAAATAGTTCTTTAAAACCGAAATTTATGAGAAAATTCTTGGGTTTTCACTTAACTCTGGGAATTCTTTATCTACTGTGCATGCAGATATGGATTTCTGTTTTCTTTGAAAGAAAATAAAGCTCAAAAATGGTATGAGATAAAAAAAATTATGAAAATCCAAAATTTTTTTGTCAACTCTGTTTACAATAAAGTGTTCGTCAAAGTTTCAAAAACTTGTAAAATGTCAAAACAGACATGTAGTAAAAGTCAAGAAACAAGCAACTCAACTCAACTGAAATATATTTTTGTCTTTAGAAAATTCGGAAGAAATAAGGAATTTTTCAAAACGCGAGTGAGACTGGAGCTGAACAATTTTCTACATTTACTGCATTTATCTTTTACACATCTATATGACGCTCTTCATTAAAAGATTGCGTTACAAAGTCTTTGCGGCGAAGAAAATTTGGAAAAATAAATCGAAGAAGTGAAATTACAGAAAATAAATTTACATTTAATTTGAAAAAAAAAAAAAAAAAATCATTGCAGAGAAAAGGAGTGAAACGAATTTCGTTAAAAGCAAACCAATTCAAGTGTGAAAGTGAAGAATAAAAAAAAAAGAGTCATAAAAAGTGCGCGCACTTGGTACGAGGTAGTAAAGTTAAAAAACTTTCTCACCAATTTCGCCGTCATAACAGCTTTTTTCAAAAAAAAAATTAAAAAAAAAGTATTTTGAACTCAATCTTTCGAAAGACATTGATGTGTGTGCATGTGAAAAATTGTCATGAGCAGGAAATATACAGTGAGGATTCGCAAATCGAATTTGTGTACGACATTAATCGGCCTCATTGGTCTAACGGTTCTATTCATCTCTTTGGTATCTGCGGAACCAGCGCCGGAAGCAAGTACATCAACAGAACAAAAACCACTTTCACTATCAGTTTCACCAAAACGTCGACTACTGAGTATATTTCAAGGCAAAGCTGCGCGGGAAGAAAACGGTAGCGACTCTACTATATGCGAAGATGGGCTCATCTTGAAGGCTTGGCGTCCTTTGACGAATATAACCCAAAGCGAACGCATCGGCCGTGGCATTGTTTATTTTCTTGCAATGTCTTATTTGTTCATTGGTGTTGCGATTGTTTCAGATCGTTTCATGGAGGGTATCGAGGTGATTACGTCTAGTGAAAGACTTGTCACAGTACTCAATAAGAATGGTCAACGAGAAACGATATCGGTGCATGTGTGGAATGAGACGGTGGCCAATTTGACGTTGATGGCATTGGGCTCGAGCGCACCGGAGATATTGTTGTCCATAATAGAAATGTTTCAAAAGAATTTCTCCGCCGGCGATTTGGGTCCAGGCACTATAGTCGGCTCTGCAGCTTATAATCTCTTTATTATCATTGCTATTTGCATTGTGGTCATACCGAAGGGTCAAGTGAGGAGAATACAACATTTTCGTGTGTTCGTTGTCACTGCCAGTTGGTCGATATTCGCTTACGTTTGGATGTGCCTGATAACCAAATATATAACACCGAGTGTCATTGATATCTGGGAGGGTTTGGTGACATTTATTTCCTTCCCAATTTTCGTATATCATGCTTATGTAACGGAACGTCGTCTCTTTTGCCCGAGTTGTTACAGACAGACGTACGATGCAAATCAGCGTGGCATCATTGTGAGTTCGTCTGAGGCAGCTGTAGGTGGCAGTGAGGCGCCGGTACGATCGAGCATCAAGGATTTGGTGGAGAGTCCGGAAATGCGTGAGTTCGAAGAAACACGTCGTCAATATATCTCTAAATTAAAGGAACTATATCGCAAGTATCCACAATATGATTTGGAAAAAATTCAGGCAATGGCTCAGGAGCATCTAATAAGAGACAAACCGAAGTCGAGAGCTTTCTATCGCGTGCAATCTGGTCGCCGACTAACTGGCGCGGCTGGTGTTTTGCGAAAAGCACGTGATTTTGCGGCTATTGAAATTGGCGAGGCAAAGGCGGTGTATCGTATGCAAGCCGAAGAGGAAGAAGACATTGATGAGGAATATGAAACACGTCTGTATTTCGATCCGGGTCATTATACAGTTTTGGAGAGTATAGGCGATTTCGAGATACATGTAATACGCTCAGGCAGCTTATCGAAATTAACCAAAGTTGAATATTACACCGAAGACGGCACAGCCGAAGCGGGTTCGGATTATGTTGCGGTGAGCGGTGTACTCGAGTTTCCGCCGGGCATTGGGGAACAAACAATTAAGATTACCATTATCGATGATGATGTCTTCGAGGAGGATGAACACTTTTATGTACACCTGAGAAAGCCAACTGCCGATGCCGTCCTCGTTGCGCCCAAAGTAGCGACTATAATGATTTTGGACGATGACCATTGCGGTATATTCGAGTTTAAAGACAAAGAGCACGTTATACCTGAAAATGTGAAGACATATGAAGTGAATGTGAAACGGTATTCGGGTATGCGCGGTAAAGTGATTCTTCCTTATTATTCAAAAGGCAAAACAGCGATCTCGGGCAAGGAATATATGGATGTGAAAGGTGAACTCGTCTTCGATGTTGGTGAATATGAGTAAGTGGGCATGCATACATACATACATACGTATATAAGTATACGGTACGTAATATCTGGTTGTTGTTATTGCACGGTTCTGTTGTTTTAATTTACCACAGGCTGCCTATTGAAGTTGAAATTATTGAAGAACATAGCTTTGAGAAGAATGTGGTATTTGAAATGTACCTGGGCGACCCAAGAGTGGCAGATGGTAAGTGTATGGAAATTGTGCAAAAAAGAAGACATTCAAGGCCAACAATTAAAAGAGAAACTTCAGTGGCAAAGGCGGAGTATAATTGAATATACCGAAAAATCTACTCACATTCCTCAAAGGATTTTGCGAATCATTCCAGAGTTCTGGCAGTCTCTTTTAGCGCAAACTCATTGCATAACACTCACTTTGAGAGTCTTAAAGAATGTCATCTTTGTTCACCGGGAACTGGTATTTCATCTAGTCCTAATTTATTACTTTTAACTTTATTTACTGCCCCGAATCTGACGGTATCGGCCGGCTTCGCGCTTTAGTTTTCCAGTTTGTATTATTTCTTTTGATACCAAGAAATTGAAGAGATGGCATTAAGGGCTGAACTTTGAGCTGAAACATTCATTTCCTTACCGATGAAGCCTCTGGCATTATTCAAAACCCTTAACACTCTTTTTAAATTATCCCCAGTTTTTGTTCATGTCGTAAGAAACCAAAAAGTTGACAAGTGTAGTAAGTGATGTGTTTCGTTCCCTTTATTTCGATTCCATGCTAATTTAACGCTAAAAGTCAAATCAATTCGCTATCTGCTCTACTGTTGAGAGTCCACTTTTCTGTGCGTTCCGCAATATGTTTCGATAAATTTTATTATGCATGGAAGTTGATATTTGGACTTTATCGGTTCTTCACGATGTGTTTCAATAGATCAGCGCTAGGTAACCGCTGAACCGTTTTTCAACAAACATAGCGATCTGCAGTTTATTCTAAGGGATCCAGAATCTTAATTTTCATATCAGAAATACACTAGGCGCAGCTTGACAATTCCTATCGAGGGGTGACCGTTATTAGAGAATTTTATTTTCTATAATTTTGGGTTGATGGTCCAACCATGGCCTTTCGGATGTTAGTACGCAACTCTTGTGGCTCCGTTTTATGCGTACTTCAGTCGTAATGAAACGTCTAGTCTTTGGCTATCGATTTGTCGTTTGTAGCTTCTAGCAATATTTTACTGTAGTCACCATTGGTTATGCTTGAAAAACTTATTCTTATTTCTACAAAAAAAAAGATTAAAGAAAAAGCAGAATTTATTGAGTTGTCCCAAAAGAACCATGCGATTTAAAAAAAAAAGTTTCTTTTTGATGAATATATTTAATTTGTCAAGTTATTGTTCACAGCAGACATCCGATTTAGTCGTTTGCTTCCTTGGAAGCAGCTCAAAATATACCACAAACCACCAAAGTGGTTTTCTCTTAACGTTATTGCAAACAATCCATTTTTCATCTCCGGTTATGATTTGCTTCGAAAACGGATCAAATTCATTGCGTTTAAGATGTATATCACAAGCGTTGAATATCAAATTTTTTATCAATCCAAGACGTGATGATTATGACCGGTTGATTTTGGTATATTTAACTTTTCTCTAATCTCACGCTCAGTCACATGACGATCCCATTCGATTAAAGCCTTGATTTCGTCAGCATCAACAGCACTTGACCGACCTGATCGTGGCTTATCTTTGAGTGAAAAATCTTCCGAGCAGATTTTGGCAAACCAACTTCGACACTGTGTTTCTTTTAAGGCCTTATCACCATACAAATTAGGCACCTTTTTAGCCGCCTGCGCTGCATTTTTCCCTTTACGGAAATAATAAAATAAAATATGGCGAAAATATTCCTTTGCGGGCTCCATAGTAAAATGGACGCCAAACAAACAAATATAAACAAAATTACGAGTACTTTTTTTTTAAAAACAAGCCATAGTCACAAACTGTTCAAAAAAAATATTGTCAACGCCGTCTGTATGAAAAATCGCTGGTTTCTTTTGGGACAACCCAGTAGAGACGAAAACATTCTTCGTAAGAAATATTTGTGAACCTAATTTAACGGTTTTTTCAAAATGAATTCCCAGATGATCCGCTCTACCCACAAATACTACAAGTGCAGCGCAAGCCATTGGATGAAAGAACTTATCACGAAAACCTGCTCTTAACGGGACTACCGAAACTAGCAAATATTTCGAAAATCGAATGTCGCATTGTTGAAAGCGAGGAATTCAAGGTTAGTTTTCAGCCTCAAAAAATTTTAAATTAAATAAAAAAAATTTATATTCATTTGAAAACCAGCAAACCGTTAACAAACTGGTGCAAACGGCAAATGCCTCAAAACTTATTGGCACAACCTCTTGGAAGGAACAATTTCTGGATGCAATGACTGTAACAGGTTCTCAACCGTTGCCAATTTACATACATACACACATACATATATACCCAACTAGTAGATATTTACAACTCAGCATACAATTGCTTCTTTACTTAAGGTGGTGGCCATCTAGATGTAGAAGATGATGATGAGGAAGATGATGATGATGCTGACGATGATTACGATGATGCTGGACCCACAGCTTGGGAATATGTGATGCACTTCTTATCAATCTTTTGGAAAATCTGTTTTGCTATAATACCACCAGCGAGTAAGTTTTACCCCAGTACCGTTATAAGCGTTAAATCTTGCACAGCTTGTTTCATGCCTTCACACTTTCAGAGATCTATAATGGTTATCCCTGCTTTTTGGTCTCAATCATTCTGATAGCAATATGTACCGCTGTTCTCGGCGATGTTGCCTCACATTTCGGTTGCACTTTGGGTGTACTTGATTCTGTGACCGCGATTTGCTTGGTCGCCATGGGCACCAGTTTGCCAGGTGAGATGAGAAAATTTTGATTATGTTGTAGTACTGTAGTGAGGAACGTTGCTTCATCATAGTTTGCGTAGTTAGGGCTTAGGTCTCACACGAAGAAAATGTGTCACGACTTAAAAAATCGGTTTATTCGCGATTCAGTCAAACTGACTATGAACCCACTCACACTACTCCCCCACTGCGCGGGAGTAACTTTAAGCTGCCCAAGTGACTGGGCTCTGAATGCTGCTACAAAAACGTGGATGGAGAAAAACGGAGGGATTGGCACTGCATACGAAGTGAAAAATGAAATTATAAACGAACAAAGAGGTGCTATTTAGCATTTCCTCGGTCGGGTGTGTACCTAATTTCGGTGCTCCTCCAGTGCCGCCACAGGAACCCAAAATCATTTTGTATATTTATCGTTTGCCTTAAATACCCACTGCTCTGTTCTGGCAGTAATTGTTTCCGAACAAGGCAGACTGGCGTGTGTTTGTTGGTGCCCAATCATTTTGCGGCGTAACATTGCCATAGCGCACATCGCAATGGAACACCAAGCGGAATGCCCGCGCAGAGCATTCCGTTTCCCGAACATTTGTTTCGACGAGAACACCTTTGACCACACCTGTGTACGAACACACCGAATGCCACGGTCCAATTATTCGATAGGCATTAAATTTACAACCGCCAGCCGACAGATGTCACTGCCGAAGCTTGGGGAGAAAGGTAAAATAAATGTGATGTTGATGGTTTTATCGCGACCAAAGTTAATATACCATTTGATGTACAAGAAAGGTATAAATATGCCTTCTTTTTATGTAATCGACAAACACCGAAACACAACTTCTTGGACTGATTTCTACGCAGGCGGCTGCCAGTGGTCCAATATTAAATAATAACAAGTAGTGTGTGCTACCAGTCAACGCTAGGGAATGTCAGCCCCACCGAGTGTATTTCTGACATGAAATAAAGCAGCTTTTCAGTTCGTCTGCTCATAAAATTAATGTTATGTTTGATAATGTCATTTGGTAGGTGTTTGGTCTTTACAAATATGAGCATAACTCGTCTTGGAAAAATCAGCTTTTGGAATGTACGATTGCGGACTATCATAAAGCCAGAAACTGTATTTTTCTTTGCAAACTTATTACGACTCAATCTTCTAGCTATCTTTATTCCAAGATATCTTTTACCTGATCCATCAGAGTCGGTAATATTATAAACTTTTTTGTAAATCACAGCAATCCACAATGCTGCTCTTTGTCATTTTACAAGGCCAAATTTAACTTAGTCTAACCTTTTATTAATTATTTTACTAATTCCTGCATTTTCTGCCGTATTCTGTTCATTATATATTTTTATTACTTTTGTTAATGTATCTGTAAAGTAATAATTACTTATTCTTCAAACTATTTCTTTTGTAATAAAATATTGTAGATATGGACTTTCTTATAATAATAAAAAATAAATAAATAAATTATCAAAAAAAAAAAAAATAAATAACTATATCTACCTAACAACTTTCACTTAATACAAATATCTTACAGATACATTTGCCAGTAAGGTAGCCGCCATACACGACAAAACCGCTGACAATGCTATTGGCAATGTGACGGGCAGTAATGCCGTGAATGTGTTTCTTGGCATCGGTATCGCATGGACTATGGCGGCCATATATCATGCTATACATGGAAATCAATTTGAAGTTCCCGTTGGATCGTAAGTTTGAAAAAAAATATTCCATTTAACACTAAAGTTAAATACTAATACAAAAAAAACTGCTTTAAAAAATACAGAGTAGTGACAGCCGAAAATATGCTGCATTATGAGAAAATAAATTTTAATGCGTATTATAGGCAACAGATATTTCAGAATTCACTTTTAGCAAATCAAGGCATTTGTTTTTTAAGTGCAATATATTATTTCGTTTATTTATGAATTATACTTTTTTCTTAAATTTTTTTTTAAAAAATTGTTTTTTTTTTTTACAAATCTGTTTCTATGACTGTGGGCCAATCGGGTGAAATTGTAAAGGCGAAAAATGTGTTATCTCTTAACAACAATGTAAAATATGTATCCTCCTTTCTTATAATTTGTTATTCACAACTATGCACAAACAGTAAAAAATGATTTGTCAAGAGCATTTGACATATTGGTAATTTATCAAGAAAAGAGCTTTTTATATTTGACACATAATAGAAAAACCTTGATAAATTGTCAACCTTTATAAATAAGCAAGATGTTGATTTTATCAAGTGTACAGAATAGGCCTGCTATTATTAATTCCTCTTTTAAATGAATTCTAATATTACAGATTACTCTTCTCAACCGCAATTTATCTAATAGAAGCGGCCGTTGCCATTTTTATACTAATTTATCGTCGCAAACAATCCATTGGTGGCGAGCTCGGCGGTCCAGAGAAATTGAAATGGGTGCACAGCATTATATTCATTTTACTTTGGGTTATCTACATAACACTGAGCATCTTGGAAGCCTATGATGTCATTCCGGGCTTTTAAAAAAATAAACAACAACAACATTCCACTTCATTGCTGTGTAATTACTTTAGTATTAAAGCATTATAATAAATTTTCCTACCACTACTACATATTATTGTGACTTACATAATTGTGTAGGAAGAATAAAAGGATTTCTCTCTTTTGTTGGGTTACTTGGCACTGTTAAGATAAATACAGAGCTATGAAAAATAATTCTCTAACTCCAAAGCGTGACATACAAAGACTTAACGAAACCAGTATATTGTGTAACTAAGATATGTTTTCGACTCGAGCCACTATCTTGTAGTAGCAACGAAGGATCGCCAATATAAACAACAAAGATTCGACATCATAAAGCTACAATCACAACAGACAGTCAAACGGTTTGCTACTCCATTTGCCGACAGAGGTAATGATTGAAATGCTGAAGGTATAAAGATCGATTGTAGGATCGAGAGAGATGATCTAGAGACTTATGTCCAGATTATTCTGAACTAAAGGAAGGGTCACTTCTCCAGCCCGCTGAATGATAAGTTGAAATGGAACATCAGGTTATGGCGAGTCCAATTCCTCCAATCGATGATGGTAGAACAGATGTTTCATTGTCTGTCTGTGAATAAGTTCAAATAGCAAATACCCTATTTATAAACAACAATGCGACGGGGACCGACGCCGGCTGAGCTATTCAAATACGGAGGCGAAGAATTCATCAGATGCAGCTTTATTTGCAGAATATGCTCGAATGGAAAAGGTGAGACTTGGACAGGTATTCCCCAAGCGCCGTTCGAAGTCAAACACGCTTTTAAATTGATTCCTTGTTGTGTAATTTCTCTAACTTATTGCTGGAATTCACTGCAGAGGTGAATAGGTAAGATAAAATTTTCTGCTGGTGGCCATCTCACGATTAAGGGCAAGACTGCGGTGGTTTTAGTACCCAGATACCAGGAGATCCCAGGCAAACGCACGGCAGACAAGCTTACGAGAGAAGAAACTCTTCCATTCACAATAAACCATGCACACGATGCAGATTTAACTTTGATTACGGCAAAATATATGTCAAAACTCAATGCAAACTGAAAAAAAACGACTAAAGGAGATCATTTGCAATTTGACCATTCATCTGTGGCCAGAATTGGACACGAAAATACTAACCCATTTTGTTCTTCTAGGCCGGTTCTTCATTAGCATAAAGACAATTCCTCGATTAATGCCGCTTCACTGCCGCAGGTGTGGGTGTCGGGAAGAGGAAGAGTCTAAGAGTCTAAACACTACTTCCGTCACTGTCCAGCCGATGTCAAGCGCAACATAAGTTACGCGGAAAACACATTTTTGACTGTCTCGCTGAGCTATCTTCTGCAATATCGTTGCCTTTATAAGACGGACGAAAGGATTTGGGCATATGAGAAGGTGCAGATCATGGCGGTATCACAATGGATATGGTGGCCTGAGAGCCTTAACCACTTTAAAGCATTCCCGATTGGTTATTTTAGATTAATCAACAAGGATAAGCTATGCTTCTTAATTGATCAGCTCCCGCTTGGGATTTAATTGAGGAGTGAAAATTTTCACGCACGTAGAACTCTTTTCCCAGCTAAAAAGTATTAATTATTATTAACTAAAGCAATGTGCTATGTAAATATTGCTACTTTAAGAGTCAGAAAGAGAAGTCTTTTTAGAAATATACTCGTATGAATTTAAACGAACATAAAATATTTGCATTCGCGCATATAAATGACCTTAAGAATTACTCTTATTATTTTTCTACAATTTCATTTAATAATTCCTTTTCATTACTGCACTTAGTCTACTATCATTAGGAGCCAAACTAAACTTTATTATTTCCCCCCTCCACACCCTGCCTATCGCGCAAGCATTCACTTTGAACTTATGATCGATGAGGCACTAAGTAAATGGCAAAAGGAAAAAGAAATTGCGAAATGAAAATGATTTATTGAATTTTCCACTTGTCTACACACATACAATGCCAAGTGTGAATGTACATACGTATATGTGTGCGTGTGTGTGTGTGTGTGTGTGTGTTTGCCTTAAGGGAGGTGTAGAAAAATGCGTGTCCGCTTATTTTGCACGCTCCTACGCGCGCTTTTATGCACCCTCATGTAGTTAGGTCAATGCACAAATGCACAATTGATATCAATTGCAGACGTGGGTGGCTCCGTCGCCCCGTCGCTCAGTGGTTCCATGCATAAAAAAGTCAAAACAAAAAGAGGAGAAATAAATAACAAACAAAACAAAAGAAATCACAATTCATACGTGCATATTGTTCGAGCAAAAGTGCGGATATGCAGGACTGTTTGCCTATGGCTCGAGCTGGAGCTGGCTGAGCAGCTGTCACGTGGGGTGGCCCGTCCTCTGGCTTGGCAGTCAATTGCTTCAGCTTTTGCTTTGGCAGCGAATTGAAAACAATCAAAAAACGGTAATAACAAATGTCTATTTCCGTTTCGTTGTGTGTGTGTGTGGGTGTATGTGTGTGTGTGGCACTTTCAACGCCATTTTATTCAGCTACACTTCATTGGAACGCATTGTTATTGTTGTGTTTATTGTTGCTGTAAATGTTGTGACCAGAAACTCGTTTTTGCAGTTTATTTTATTTGAATTTCATTTTGGTTTGTCATTGGTTTCCAGTTAGGAAATGAAACATGTGCATTTACATACATAGATATACATATATATGTATGTACATATACATATATGTTTATTAATGTATGAGCCCTGCAGGCCAAAATATTGGTTGTCAACTAGAATGAGAGCAACTGGTTCTTTCAACATGGCGATGTCCTACAAACCGTTAGATCTCCGTCCGAGCCATCAGTTTAAAGTTAGGTTAAATATTATCATTGCGGTCGTCACTCGGCAGGGAATGGCAAACCGTCCGAGTTTATTTATGGTATGAAAAAAAGGCTCCTCTTCAAGAAAACAATCAGCCGTTCGGAGGCGGCTTAGTACAAACTGTAGGTCCCTCCATTTGTTAGATAAAAATAAAGACGCAAAACCACAAATTGAAGAAGGAACTCGGCCGGAAATCGCTTCAGCGGTTACAAAGCGCCAATTATATATGCGAAAGACCAACTCTTGAGCACTTGAGATAAACATTCGTCGAGTTATAGCTGAGATACCGCCCAAGGTATGCCAAAAAGCGACTGAAAATTACCTCAAACGGATCGAAGTCAGCAAAAATGCGCGAGCAGGTCATTTCAGTGACATAAAATGCAAAGGTTCAAGCTTTATATTAAAAAAGAAATTTTATGTCTAAATTTTTTCGAATTTTCGAAACTTTTAGATAAGTGTAGTTCGTTTAAGCGTGTTGAATTTTTACTTCACAAAAAAAAATAAAAAAAAAAGTTTGTTGGTAGGGAGGTACACCTCATTGGCTAATGATAACTTCTCAGCGCTCGGACGTCGTGATGACGAAGCGACGAACGTCATTTTGCGCACCTCAGCTTGACATACTTGATGGGAATGGAACACAGTCGTAGCATTTTATACGTAACAACAACAAACAGTGGTGGCAAATATTATTACTCCCGTTGCAGGTGAATTGCTTAACAAATAACCAAGTGTAATGATTTCATCTTGGAAGCACCAGTTTTTAAGTAAAATGTTTACTTACTAGACTTCCTTCTCCCTGCAGGGTATGTATGGCTGTATATAATATATGCGTGTATTTACTTTTCAATGACTTGCATGCACTTTTATCTAATTGGCATGGTGCAGCACTGCTGCTTTTCTCGAAACGATTTTATGAGTTTGTCATAAAATATGCATAACTGCAACATTTTAGCTTTCAATGCATTGTATATAAACCGCCGTACAGAAGAAAATTATTCTTGCAATTCTTGTATTGCGGTTATGGCCTCCTACAGCCAAAACTGACCGTACAGTACAGTAGAACTGACAAAAAATTAACCATCGAATTGGTAGCACTCTCCTTCAGCTGGTTTTAAGTAATTTCCAAGCCATCGCAAATTGAGGGAGAGAGTATTTAGTGCGTGACTATCTTGACGAACGTCATTACGGGAGTACACAGTAATTCGGTCCGTTTTTACGTGTACAAAAAGTGATTTTTTTTACTGAAGAAAAGTGACAGATACATCATTTGAAGTACTGTCTGTTGGATGGGACTTCTTTGCAACTTTCTGGTAATTTTCGAATACCATCCCCAAAACAAAATGAGTCCTGTGGTCTTCGGTTCAATTGTTGAACCATCCTTCAAAAGATCCGAGCCGGTATCACCCCAAATCAATTTGTATACGTCATAAGAGCCTGTAGTCAATTTCAGTGTTTCCATTTTTTGATTGGTACATAGTACACCCACCATATGCAGAGCATAACCTTTGAATCGTCGATAGCCTCTTTTGATTCGTGCTTTGCAATTAAAGTAAAAAATCAAAACATTTCGTAAATGCTGTTCATTTGATCCGCCTTAATCGGCTGGTGTGTTGAACTTTTTAGAAGAAACGGAATTGATTGTAGCAGCGAATAGAAATGTTCAGCTTTGGCGTAGCCAGGGCTGAAGTGATTTTAGTCGACCTTTCCATAGCACAACAGTCTTCCCTTCTTTTAGCCTTTCGATATCCATGGAAGACACCAAGTAAAACGAAGTCTTTACCCACCTAATCCTTCCAACGAAGTGGTGATCTTCTTCTGCCTTGAATGATGAGCGCTTTGTACAGTTTGATCTTTCTTCGGTGGGAGAGGACTTTCGTTTTTGATTCTGCGTTTGGTTTGACTTCCAACCGGGCGTTATTATTGGTATTGATTGACTTCAGAGACACGACTGTAAGTCGTTAGTTTTGCAGCATTGATGCAGCTCCTCGAAGGCTGCTTTAAAATCGACAGAAATAATGGTGTGTTTGGATTCTTTCCTCTTACACAATTCGCTTGGCAGGACTTTATATGCGATATTGTGGAGGCTTATCCTACTATAATTGACGAAGATTGTGTGGTGTCCCTTTTTATAGATTGGGTAGAGGGTGCACCCTTTCGTTCAACTATATTCTGCGCAGAAGCTGATGCATACAACTTTTCAGTTATTTGGCGCCATGATGGAATAGTTTTGCGTTAGCTTGATGAAACACCTATGCAAATATCATT